TTCCTCTTGGACACAGACCTTTAAGTTCCACTTTAGAGATTTCTTGACGAACAAGCTTAGACAAGTTGATTGAGTTACATTTTTTTTTTTTTTGAAACTTATTGAGTTACATTTTTAAGCACTGTTTGATTACATTTTAAGCACTGTTTGATTCTTTTTCCATTTATTTCTCAGTACTTTTACTTCAGAAATTTATTTCAATATTGTATCTTGTAGTAAAATATTATTTTTGTATAAAACAATATTAAAAAAGCAAATTACTATATATCAAATTATTAAACGTATTTCTAAAAAATACTGAATGTATGTTTATTTTCTTAAAACTATCACCGAAACTTTAAAGTCTTATAAATATACCACACATTCTTAGGTTAATTAATCTATGCGTTACAATACAATTAATTTTTCAACTAACTTGAAAATAATTAATATTCTATTGTGTATGATTTCGGTGCGTTTGTTCATCCGAAATAATATTTTTAAATTGGTTTTGCAATGGTAGTAACGCGGGAGGATCAGCTTCAACTACAACGGTGGGAGGAACACCGATAACAACCGCCGGAAATATCCCCATGACGTCACTAAGGCCACCATCTGGCACCACGACATCACCGTTTGGAGTAGGCGGCGGCGGACTTATTCCACCGGGAACCACTAACACCGATGAATCTGGAGCTTATATGAACATGAGCAGTGTCTCTATAGCTTTATTGGTGATCTTACTTTTGTGGTTTATATAGGTTTTTAGATTCATCTCATGTATACATTGTACGGTCACAACATTTTTGTTAAAAGGGTTAAATCAATTATGAAGAATTTTTTAGTGTTGTTTAATGGGGTCCTCTATCGTTGTAACCTTACATAAAACAAGTAGGTCAAAGTTATCGAGATTGGGTGTAAATGGTAATAGAGGACTGTGGTGGAATTGTGGATTCTGGAAAATTTTTTTACGATTTTTTGCGGCATCTAGCAGAATAACTTTGAATTCAAATGGTAAAAACTGAATCTATACAAACATTGGTTACTCGTGAGAACCCTAAAATAGCCGTCAAAAAGAGCCTTCCTCTGTTCTCTTCCACCACCATGGATTCCGGCCAGTTGTTAGAGTTTGAACCACCAGAACCACCCTAGCTACATTCCTAACGCTTTCTTCTCCATCGGAGACCACCTTTCCATCTCTCTTTCCTTTCCACCTTTCCATCGGAGACCATAGCTACATTGGTATTTTATGAGTACATCATATACATATATACTTTATATGTTATTTTGCATATACAAACGGTATATACACTTGGATAAGAATTTTAGATGCGAAAATGTCTAACGCTAGGTTTATAGGCAACTATGGAATATACATATTTGGTTTATATGGACAATGACTTTTACTAAGTGTTTACTCGGATAAAACTAGTGTCCTCCATGCAATACCATGTACATCACATGTTCCACCAAACATGCGACCCCATCGCTGTCGAGAACCTGCATCCGCATGCAAAGCACATACCGAAGAACTTTTGAGATCCCATCAGTTTCTATACTCACGTTATTCCAAGTCAAACATTGCATTCAACCCATAGTCCTAATGTTCAGATAAACATCGCTCGCGATAAGATTTTAGTCCTTTAGAAATTTAAGAACAAACTACTGTTTGCACTGTAATTATTGAGTGGGCCGTGTGGTGTGTTTGTGACAGTTGACTGCATTGAACAATCTGTTATGGAAATAATAAAATTTGTGTATTGTCCCTTATACTCTATGAATGGACACACTCTAACTTAGAAATCACGCGAATAGAAAAAGGTTCTTGAAGAAAGCTCTCAAATCCTTCGAGATGATTTCATCTCTTCCTTACTATATATTGCTGAGATGAATTGTTGGATATCCAAGCATTAGGCTAAAGGTTCATGCCAGTTAATCTTTTTTTTATAGGTTATTTTAATTTTTATTAACGTATCCAAATAAAAAAAAGGCTTGAATTCAACAAAACTAAGATTTTTCAAAGAACTATCCCTTGATCTCTCGCATACACACAAATGATTGGACTACTCAACCTAAGGTTCATGTTTGGATAAATATTGGCAACACTTGGACAAGAATTTTAGATGCGAAAATGTCTAAAGCTAGGTTTATAGGCAATTATGGAATATACATATTTGGATTATATGGACAATGACTTTTGGTAAGTGTTTACTCGGATAAAACTAGTGTCCTCCATGCAATACCATGTTCCACCAAACATGCAACCCCATCACTGTCGAGAACGTGCATCCGCTTACAGAGCACATACCCAAAAAATTTTGAGATCCCATCAGCTCCTATACTCGCGTTATCCAAGTCAAACATTACATTCAACCCACAGTTGTAAAAACTCGTGGCTGATTACAATCAGGAACTTGATGAAATCCATGTCGGAAAAGATGATCGCCAAAATGCAAGGTGGGGGGGGGATTGAAATCGTTGTAAGGAATATCATTATGACGTCTATCCTAATTCGTCGATCAGCTATTTGTGGATGATTACAGTTGTAAAACCTCGTAGCTGGTCACAATCAGGAACTTGATGAAACCCCTGTCGGAAGAGATGATCACCATAACGCAAGGTGGGGGGGGATTAGACTCGTTGTAAGCAATATGGTTATGACGTCTCTCCTAATCCGGCGATCAACTGCTTGAGAATTGTGAAAGCCAGCCTCTGCCCCTGTTATGAACCTCACATCGATTTGAGCAAGTGCTGCTCTAACCTCTGGTCTCATGCTGTCTAAAGTTCCGGTGACACAGTAAATCACTACCAGACCGATAAATCATACCCGATGGAAATGTCTCTCAAATGCGCACCGTATCCAAGCCAGATTGAAATCTCGAGGAGGAAGATCTTTAATCGGTGTCTTTGGGAGATCTTCAATGGGTGTTGGGAGATCTTCGATAGGATTATATTAGCTTTCATAAAAAGTCAACATACAATCCCTTCATCCTTCAAGATCATAAACAAACAAAAAAACGATATTCCCATTGTCATTGATGAAGATGAGATAACTGAACACCTTGAACTTGGCTCTCTCCAAGGACAAAAGTGTGTGAAGATATGATTTAGATAAATTTTTCGATCTAAATATTTTCGTTCATATGGTTTAGAAATGTGTGACGATAGATCAATACCTTAAGTTCAAAAATTGTGCACATTTTTGGATTAGTGAAGGCTAGAGCTCCATGGACGTCATGTTCATCTTGCTTGTACATCAACTCATATAAATCTTTTCAAGCCTATGACAACATTCTTTGCGCAATCATCATCAAAGAGACTTCCCATAATTAAAATGCCTATGGCTCTTATAGATTCTTTTTTTTTTCCAAAACCTCTATCTTAATCTTATTCTTCGCTTTTTTTTCTTTAACTATCCAATTTTCTCAATCATGACATACATGATACCCCATGAATAAATGGTAAAAATCTTGTTTTGCCCTTCATTAAAATTCTTATCACAATGGCATAAGGATTTCAAGTACATGAAAACACTTTTAGAACAATCATAACCAAATGGACTGCCCATAAACACCAAACAAGCCATGGCTCTTATAACCTTTGATTTTTCCTTAGACATTTTTCGCTTCACAAATCTCGAGCACGGTAAGCTTCTTGATTAACTCCACCATTATAGAAGCTAAACGGAGTGGGATCTTATGACCATCTCTTGTGGACAAAATAAAAACTTTCTAACAAATTATTTCAAAAACGTTAAGCCCACCATTATAGAAGCTATGCGTGGAAAAGGATGAATTTGAGAACTTTATCCAACATTTTTCTCAGCTTCATCTTTGTAGATATGATTAGTACTTTCATAAAGTGCAAACAAGTATTTTCATGAGAGATGACTTCATTCTCAGATCCCCCAAAACTATCGGATCCCAAGTCACCACTGAACCATGATCCTCCTCTAAAAGCTTTAGCGAAAAAAATTTCACCAAAATCTCTTCATCTTCTTCGAGTGTCTAGCTCAATGATCCCAAAAATGATTTATAGTGGACTTGCGNGAGAATATTCCACCAAACTTGCAATTCAATCACTACCCAAAACATTTATCTGCATCGAGAACACGTGCAAAACCACTTTTGTGGCCCAATCACAATCCATACACGTGTTAGTCCATGGCAAAAACTGCACTCAATTGTTAGTCTCATTTTTCTCAGTTGTTAATCCTACCACATGACCTGTCGATCTAAAATGGTTCAACCTGTTGAATTTTTTCTATACCATACTGAAATTTGTTGACCAAAATTCGTTATTTTTTTTTTACTTTTTCTAACTTTTCCAAGTCCAACATTCTTGATTCTGACACTTTAAAAAAATCTTGGTTCCCAAATTACACTAACTATATATCCCTATACTTTAGTGTGATAATGGACATGTTGCTTGGTCTTCATGCTGCCTCATACTTCATAACAAGTGTCACACATATGATTTTCTTATTAGCCATAATTGCTGCAGAATAATGGCAAATGTTTTCGAACAATTTGAATTTGTCTTTTTCCAAAACACAAAGCTTGGATGCAACAAAAATGTATTTTATTGGAAAGAATCAACTTATGAAATGGAATGCACTTGTCTTGGATTGTACTACAATTACATTAGAATGCATACGAGCATTTACAATCACTTTGTCGACAACCACCGTAAAAAATTCAAATATATTTCCTTTGTGAGCACTGGTTCCGGTGATGTTCAGATGAACATTGCTCGTGATAAAATTTTAGTTCTTTAAGAATTTTAGAAAACCATTGTTTGCATTGCACTGTTTCAGTGGATCATGTGATGTGTATGTGACAATTGAATGTATTGCATAATATGCTTTGAAAATTAAGAAATTTGCGTATAGTTTCCTACTTTATGAATAGAAACACTATTAATTATAAATCAGGAGAATGGAAAAATGTTCTTGAACTGAACTCTCAAATCCCTAAAAACGATTACATGTCTCTCTTGCACTATATATTATGAACAAGGTCGTGGCTAAGGCTTAAGAAAATAAACATTTGCCTACGACATTTTATTTTGCTAATTAACTAGTGTTAAGGCTCATGCGTTGCACGGACTGTATGTAATTCTAATGTTTTTGTTAACAGTAATTTGTAGTTATGAATATAATTGATTTACAATATTTTCAAAAACAAAAACAAAATCGAGACAATTAGAGAATATGGAAAATGAGAGGCGTAGCATTGGGCACGGAGCGGAGATCCGGAAAAAAAATCCGGTATCCGCGATCCCCTCCGTATTTTACGGATAGTTGATTTTTCGATCCGATCCGGTAAATTTCGGATATCTGACTTTTTTCAAGATATCCGCAAATATCTGATCCGATCCGTATAAATCGAATATCTGATCCAATCC